CATATGTGGAAATGCTCATCCTTCCATGAGACGGTATTAGGATCTGGGACTTCCTGGAGGTTTTTATGACACTAATTAGAGCCCCTCTGCATGGTATTAGTGCCTTATAGTAGACCTCAAATGGCTTGTAACTCCCCTCTCCCCCTATTTCACACTGGGATGATAACAGCGATGAACCAGGAAGCAGGTCCTCACTAGATATTGGTCCAGGACCACTGGTCTAGGATGTTGGTCTTGGATTTCTCAGCCTCCAGAAATGTGAGAAACAATGTTTTCTTTAATGCACTTAATCTGATATTTTCATTACAGCAGCTGAAACACACAATGCATCAGCAAAATGAAATCTTCTGTTTCATTTTATTTGCAGGACCCTCTTTCCTGGGAAATTTTAATAAGAAAGCCATTACTGCGCTGAGGATGGTTACCGTGTCCTCTGCCAAACCTGCCCTCTTTCCCTAAAGCGCTTATTTTCAATGAACTCAGATAAGGAATTGGCTTCCAGAAATATGTGGGTGTATTTTAATCCTATAGGCAATACACTGTAAACTCAAGTTAGGAATGAACCATTTCTAGCAGAATCTACTAAACTGTTTCAAGAATTTACTTGGATTCTTAAATATCAACTGTGCATTAATAGAGAAGCAGGAGGAAATGCTGGTATTTATTAGGTGGATGTTGCATATTTGAAACAGATATATGGGAGGAAATTAGCTCATAGGAAATCAGAAAGTGATAAACTCAGAATAAACAAAGTATAGGTGTTAAAAGAATCCATCAAGCATATCTCTCCATACTGCAGCAAAACTAAGAGTATTCTCCCAAAATTCAGAAAGCCACAGGTATGCTAAAATTCAGTGGTTTACGAAGAACATGATCTTAAAAACTTTGGACATAATATTGAAATAATTTGTTAAATATCATTACTTATATTAAAAATTAAATATTTTCAACTTTGTGGGATATAAAATATTGAGGGCCAGAAAGAGATCACTTGGAAAATGTTTTCTTTAAAAAATAAAAGATGATTTTTTTTACCACCAAGCGGTTATATTAGCAAATGGAAGGTGTGCATGTTAGTACATGGGATAGTCTGAGACAATAGGCAAAGACTTAAGATATATCTGCAAGTGCTGGTGATGACAACCTGGGAATGTTGAAGGAAGTAATGATAAACCTTGCAAATGCCAATTGCTGATGTGATCCATTTAAATGCATGATTGGGTTGAACAATAAGGTTAAAAAGGAACTGTCTTTCTAAGAAGGTTCTCCACGCTGCCCTTTCCTGGTGTAAGACACAGAATCATCCTGCTCCTTACCTTTAGTCCAGACATATCTCCTAGCATTAACTTTTCAGACCCGCAAACTGATAGAAAAATCCACCCATTGTTAAAATGAAGCTGTCCAGGCATAGGATGGACTTGACTTAGATGTAGCAACCGTGCCAGCTTTACTATAACACATGACTTTATTAATAACAAATAGTTTACTGGAGGAAAAAATGGTTCTGTTAAAGAGAATCAGAATATAATAATTGGGCTATAAGGAATTTATTGGATTTATTTAAGAAGTTACCTAGATTTACAGATTAATAGGATTGAAAAGTTATCATTTACTTGAATATCTTTCAAGTCATTAAAGTTTCCTGACAATGACTGTTTAATAAATGCAATCACCAAGGGCACTTACAGGAGAGGGACCTATTTCATCATAAGTGAGAACACTTACAGGTAATAAGGAGACAGTAAATCTCTGTGGCCATTTCTTTGCCAAAAAAATATAAAGAACAAACAACATTGATATAAAAGCCATTAGGCTAATTAAATAGGAACATAAGGTAAACATTTTTACTCTTTATCATAAATATGCCCTTATTCAATGGAAATTAGGTCTGAATAGCAGTTTAAAAGCTAATGAGACTTAGCTCCTTCTTCAGCAAGCTTTATGCTCTCTCCAACAATCCTGCCTATGGGGCCACTGTGACCAGGAGTTAATTAGGCCTTCTGGCCATCAGCTCGAGCAAGAGCAGGCACCCCCAGTTTACTGTGCTCTCTTAATGAACACTTTATTTTATTATTTGAATATATATATTTACTATTTCTTCCATGACTATATTTAAACAACAAATGTTATTTCTGCTTCCTATCCCAATATCATCATTGTAAGGAAGTTCTCACTGGTGTTGCTGATACGTCATTTACTTAATTCTGAAAGCTATAATCAGAGGTATTAAAAGGTAGGATCACTTGAGTTTTCTGGGCACAGCAGGCTAGGACACTGGAAGAACTGCTAATTTATACACTCACCATGTGAAAACAATTTCCTGCCCTCCGAAACAGAAGAGCTGGGAGGGTACTGAGCTTCTCTTCATTAAGGTGCAAAACCTGTTTCACAGTTTTCTAAATGCAGAAGATATGCATAAAACATGTCCTGTGACTACAGACCATAATTAGCTTGGTGCCAAGTCTGCCAGTCTTAATAAGTACATAAATAAGTAACGTTTATATTAGTATTTTAAGGGTATTACCTTAAAGTGAATTAGAAGGCAATTCTCACTTTTACGGTCTGCTCATTTATCTGCTGTTAGGTGAATGTGTATGGCATAGAGCCCTTAAGATTTTAAAATATACAAACAGCTAAAACTGACCTATTAAATTATAATGGCTCCTTGCATTGTGCAATATTTTTCGAAAGATGTTAAAAATCAGTTTACTTAGGGCCTCCCTGGTGGTCGAGGGGTTAAGTCTTAGCACTATCACCCCTATAGTCTGAGTTCCATCCCAGACCAGGGAGCTACCCACATGGTGCAGCAGACCGCTCCATGAAATTTTCAAAATGTAATGACAAGAATTTTTATAAGTATTTTTGATAATGGAAAAATAAAAATAACTTAAAAACCCAGTAATAGTAAAATGATTTAATAATTCTGGTAATATTCCTATTATATGTTTGTATTATGCAGTTATGAAAAAATGGTTGGCGCATAACTACAGATTTAAAAATGCTTTAATGTAACTTAAACATAAAGTGCACATTAAAAACTCAAAACAGAGTAGTCCAATTTTATTCAAGAACTATCACCTCTAAACCCAGAGAAAAATAGGACTTAATTCCTCCATCAATAACATCAGTATATTCCTTAAAATGCTCATTTCTATTAGACCTGGGTGTTGGGGTGGCGATAAACTCCTTTTCATTTCATTTTTTCTTAAACTGTTTAACCCATGCTCTAAAGTTAAAACAATTCTTTAATAAAAAAGCAATACAATAATTTTAGCTTTGAAAGAACAGACATGATTCCTAACTTTCTCCTTCTAATCAATGTATATAAGATCACAGAAGATCATAAAACTGTTTCCAAAGCTTCATTATCTTTGGTTCTCAGAAAAAATCCACTGTGTCTTCATATTACTACACAGAAAATTGAGACATCACACAAGGATGAATAGTATCTATTTGATCTGCTTTATATTAAAAAAAAAGGAAAATAAGGCAGCCTTGCATGTTCAAACAAATGCATTTAGCAAAATGTCTTTCCTAGAAGGAGAGTATATGTTGTAAAATGAGAATGAAAATAATAGCATAATTTATAAAGAGAGAATTATGATTTCAAAAGTTCCTGGGTGAAGGATAGAAGCAGGAACACACCGTATAATAAGAAATGCTAAACATAAAAATTGAAACAACTTTTAAAAATTCCCTCTGACAACAGATTTATGATAAACAAAATGAAAAGGAAAAGTAATATAGTCTCAACTCTTGTAAAGGATAATATATGCTGTCAGTTGCCACATTTGGTTTTTATCTGGTCATTGAAAACATCTTTATGTATTGCTTTCTAACAAAGATATATTGTTCAGAAATGTTTAGAAAATATATACATTTTTCCCCTCCTATTTTAGCTGTCGGGAACGAAACAAACAAATTGAAAGAGCCAAGGCTTGGATGGTTCAGGATTTTGTCTCTTTAATGATCAATTTAGATTGTTCCATGCTCAATTTAACCATAATAAACCAATCCATCAAACTGTACCTATCCAGTTGCTATGCTCAGACAGGTGATTTAAGTAAAATCTAGTAGCATCTCAGCAACAGTTACCTTCCAATACTTAAGCAATAGTATAACAGATTTAGTTCCCAACACAGGCAACTCCACAGTGAAACTTAAAGCACACTGGAAATTTTTACTCCATGCTAATATCTTCTTGAGAGTTTGCCAAGTTTCTCAAATATTATCATTTGGACACTCCATATTGTCATCTAGCAATAACTGAACAAATGTTCATGAGACCTTCATGTTATGTTGTGTTTAATTTTGTTTTATGCAAACTTCCATACAACCTATACTATGAGCCAGACACCATGGAAGATGATAGATAAAAATAAACACATGGGTGGAATTCACTTCCAGGGCCCACAGAGAGTTAGGAGACAGAATTTAACCTGTTAAATTCTATATGAGGGAGACATGTACAAATAGAATTATCCACTGTCAACTCTCAGGGAAACACTTATAATGCAGCAGTTCTACATAATAAATTCTGAGAGAAGTAGTACAATTTCAAAGTGAAAGCTAAGCTGGACCAGACTTTAAGAGCGATTATCAGAAAATATCCTTCCCGACCACATGCAAGAAAGGGTCTGAATCTATGTCTGTTTACATTTCCTTACTAGCTTCCCTCTTCCCTGTGATTTCAATCTACGAGTCTTTAAGACTTCATTAAAATTAAAAAATCTGTGAAAGAAACTATCAAGGCAATGAGTAGACAAGCCCTGATTGAGTGAAAATATTTGCAAAAGACATATCTGATGTAGAATTGTCATCTAAAAATAAAGAGCACTTAAAACTCAACAATAAGGGAAAAAAATACAACTTCAAGAGGTCAAAGACCTAACAGACAGTTCATCAAAGGAGATACACCAATGGCAAATAAGCCTATGTAATGATGTTTCACCACACATTTCTCCAGAAAATGCAAATTGAAACAATGAGATACACTGTACCTTTATAAGAATGGCCATCTAGAACAGTGACACCACCCAGTGCAGGTGAGGATGTGAAAAACAGGAACCATCAGACACTGCTAGTGAAAATATAAAATGCTACAGTCACTCCGGTGACAGTTTGACATTTTTTTTAAACTAAACATACCATTAACATACGATCCAGCAATCAGGTTCTTTGCTATTTACCCAAAGGAGATGAAAACTTATGTCCACACAAAAACTGGCATATGGTGTTTCTAGCACTATTATTCATAATTGACAAATCTCCTCAGTAGGTGAAAGGAGGAATGCATTTTGGTGCATTCATAAAATGGAGTATTATTCAGAGTTAGAATTCAGGTATCAAGTCATTAAAATGAGTTGGGGAAAAAATGAAGTTTCTTAATGAAAAGGAACCAATCTAAAAAGGCTTCAATCTACATAATTGCAAATTTATGACATTCTGGAAAAAGCAAAATGATGGACACAAATTTAAAAATCAATGGTTTCAGAGGCTAGGGCAGGAAGGGATGAAAAGAAAGGAGAGAGAGAAACTCAAGGGTAGTGAAAAAATAACCTGCATGAAATCATAACGAGTTCATGTACTTAATTATTTGTCCAAACCCACAGAATATGTCACATCAAGAATAATCCTAATATAAACTGTGGATTTTGAGTGATAAGGATAGATGGACTTTAGCAATGTGCCACTCTGGTGAGTGGTATTGATAAGAGGGACTCTGTGCCTGTATGGGGTAGAGAGTAGGTGGGAAATCTGTTATCTTCTTCTCAATTTTTTGTAAATATAAAAGTACTCAAAATGATGATTAAAGTCCTTTACAAAAAGATGAATATGCTATTAACAAGGCATACACAAAAGTGTATAAATGTGTTTCAGCACCTTTAATGTTTAACTGTCCACAATGAGTACTCATGAATTATACTAGAATTATCAGTGAACATAAAGTTTAGTAAGACTTTTAAGGATATTGTTAATATGTCAACACAGCTAACTTCAATTGAAGTATGAAGTAGTAGTTTTTCATCAGATTGTATAAAGTTAAACATGTTGAAATTATTTTTAGAAGTAATGAGTTGATTATTAGTTATTATCTGAGTATGATAGGTAGGTTTATGAGTCCTATTTCCTATCATGCATGGCTATACTTGAAATTTTTTGAGCAGAACGAGCTTGCTGTTGAGTTTATAAAAAGGGAGTTATTAGGCTAAATGAGGAAAAAGCTAGGTAATAAAAAAATAAGCAGCTTCAATTTAGATCTGCTTTTTATATTTTATACATTATCTTTATCATTTATTTCCCAAGCTCTTCATATAAATCACAGCTATATAGATAATTATTGTTGACATTTTAAATGAAAATATTCACTGAACTTAGAATAAGAAGAATTAGATGAGACTGTTCAGCAAGAACATCTTAAATGAAAGGTATTCTAGAGATTTATCTTGTCCAAACACAAAATCTTAGTAACACAGGAAAAATAAAAGTTCATATCCAATTAGCAATAGCTAATGCAAACATCTCCTAAAATTTTATCTCGCCAGTGAACATTATTTTCAAACTATGCTACCAAACCCAACTATAAATTTGGAGAAAAGTCTCTGAATGGCTGACACCTGTTTCATGCCCAGATCGCCAGCTTCTCAAATCACCATCTCTGATTCTAAGAAGCTAAGTCGTTTCTGCGGAAACCCTGGGAATTGATCTCCCTGGTGGTGGGGTTTCACTTACCCCTCTTTCTTGATTCTATACAATCCATAACCTGTCTCACTTTGTTTTTATCTTTTTCAATGATTCACAAGTTGGACTGGCATTATTTTGTAATTTTTGTTGTAAAAAGTGTTTTCCATTGCAGATAACTAATAATCAGAGACCAGGGTCTCAGCACCTAGAATTCAGCCCAGCTCCGCATGTTCAGCGACTACATAATGGTTATTTACAGGGATGAGCACATGTTCATTTAGTACAAAAGGTAGAGGAAGAGACACTCTAATATAGAAGACCTTTTCACAATGGTAACTTGACAAACCCCATATATGAAAACATGACAGTTACACTCTGAGTTAAGGAGAGCGAAAGGGAGACTCCACACTGGTTCCTAATTTTGGATGAGCAGTGCATCCTACCTCAAGAAATACGTCTCTACCTAGTTACAGGGCTACATGTGCTTTCAGAAGCAAAATGATCTCCCTGCATGTTGCTATAGCTACACTTATGAACCTTTAAAAGAACTACAAAAATAAATGCCATTAAATTGGAGAACAAAACACCTGAGACATTTGACTTGACAGAAATTTTAAATATATCTCCTTATAGAACACCCATAACTTTTAGTTACTTTGCAGGTGAATGATCTGTTATTGTAGCTGCTCCATTCACTATACGCATGAATTTTTAAGACTACTGCTATTTGCACAGTACAAAAGAAATGTTGGCGTGCTGGGGCATAATGAAAACCCATCACAATGAAAAGTCCCAGAGCTTAGGTGAAATGTTTAGTTTTAATGGGATTAGTTTTCCCATTTGGACATATAACACATTCTTTTGTAAGCTCCTATAAGTTGGAAAGATTTCTAACGCCTTCCTCCTTCCTTCATATAATGCCTTTAGGCCTTGGGATTAACCTCTGCTCTTTGCTATGGTTAAAAAAAAAAAAAAAAAAAAAACTTGACAGTGGGGCCTCCCTGGTGGTGCAGGGGTTTAAGTATCAGCACTATGAAGTTATCACCAGCCACTGCAGCACCAGTTCGATCCCCAGCCAGGGAGCTGACCCACATGGAACAGCAGACCTCTCCTGTCTTGCATGCTGCTCCCCTCAGCAGTCGATTTCAGTAGATCCACCTGTTCTGCTGCCCTGGTTAATCCTCTCACTCCCCACACCTCTGGCCTGTACCCCAGTTCTTGTATGCATAAATAAAAACAAATATTTAAAAAATAAATACTTGATAGGATGAAAAAGAAAAAAAAGGGGGGGTTCTTTATCTAAGATGACAAGAATTAGGATAAAACATACTAATGCTACTTCACACTAGAATAAAGAAGTCATGGCTTTCTTACAAACATCCATAATGTTTATACAAGTTGCTACTGTAAATGATATTTCAAGGAACTACCCTATGAGCCTTAGCATCGACTATCTTCTGCTATGGCATTTTCATCAAATTCCTTTAAACTTTTCCTTCTGGTAGCATCATGCCAAGTTCAAGAACATAATAGTTCATGTCTCAGATATGGGCTGGAAGCCTGTCAATGTCCTTTATTAGTGCTAATCAGCAAATCTGCATCATAGATTGCTGAGTTTTCATTTAAACTCACAGTTCAAATGTGTGACCCAGTGGTCAGCCCCGTAGATGCCAGCAAGTGTTCACTATTATTATTGGTGGTTTGGCAGGAAGAAAAATGATAACTTGTGATATAAGTACTACCAATCTATCCCTATGACTTGAGACACTAATAACATGAATCCTGAATACACCACATTGTTTTCACACTTCAAGTTAGCATTAAGTCACAGGAAAAGTCATATATTGTTTAACAACAAAGTTTAAGAAATGCAAATAAAACACACTGTTTTCCCTATATTTCCTATAACATTGACCCTGAGGATAACACTTTATTTAGTGAAAAAAAAAAAAAAAAGAATGCTCCGAAATCTATCCACTTAGCAGTAACTTATAATTATTACTTGAAAAATTGCAATGAGTGGAGTCTGCATTTTGCAAATTTGTCATGTTAATCTGACAAAATCCTTTTATAATGTATTACATGAAACCACCTGGTTAGCTGCTGTACACCTGAACTCCTCCCAGTCCTGTTTTTCCCACATTTCACCAAATAAACATCCAGTCGCAATCACTTTCAGCATCTTCCCTAAGAGGCCTCTGATGCCACCCTTGCCTCTTTGCCAGAAAGTTTCACTATCCCATGCTAACCTACCATCTTCATGTGCTTTGGATTTTTGAATTTTGCTTTCTTTCTTTCATGATTCCACCCCTACCCCCCTCTTTCATGGTGGCACTCTGCAAATAAACTTTCCAAGAGTGTTTTCTTTTCCCCTGCTACTGAGGAACAAGGCAGACCATCCATCTGGAAAGCCTTTATTATATGAACATAGTTTATAATGTAAGCTAAACAATTCTTTCCTCTGTTAGTGCAGCAGCTCCTGGGAAATCACATAGTCTGTTTCACAAATATACCTGCTTTGTATTGTTCTCCTGACTAGTACTCCTCAGCCTTCAAATACATGCAAATCACTTTAGAATATGGTTAAGCCCTGCATATTCAAACTCAGCAGGACTTGGAGGGTCCTGAGAATTTAAATTTTAACAAACTTTGAGATGGTATGGATGATATTAGTACAAAACCGTGCTTTGACCAGCCAGCACCTGAGTGATCCTAATTCCATTCTTTATTTTGAAAACAATGATTCCATGCAACATGACATATATAAATTTAGCACATCTTCTACAATTTTCCATAAATTTCAGCTTTCTCTACCTTAATGTCTAACAGGAGACAAGAAAAGTTTTTGGTGTTTGAACACTGCTAAGACCACATATCTCTTCTAGTAGAATTAGTCATGACTCTAAGAAGCTCTTCCAGAATATTTCAAATTGTCTTCTAAGCACAGCACATGGGACAGGCACACATTTCATTTTGTGCTAGTCTGATCTTCCTGCTATTAAAATCAAAGCTCTCTTCTATAATTCCCATCCACAAGCTTTTTTTAAGATAATAGAAAATCAATTACTAGAGTGATATATCCAGAAACTTCTAAAGTTTCATTAGTTTCCATTTTTCTGGAAGACAGCAGGTAGATGAGACACAGGTTTTTGTCTCACGATGACCTGCTGTGGCCACTATACCCGAGTCTCACATTATTTATTAAAAAAAAAAAACAAAAACTCATAAACAATAAAATAAAGTTCTTTGGTAACAGAGTCTAGAATAAGGATGTAATGATTTATGAAAATTCTTTCCAGTCTGTAAACAAAAGGAAAGACTGGTGACAAAGTTGGGTTTAAAATTGAATTCTGCCACTTTTGAACGTTGTGTCCTAGAGGATCATTCCTAGAA